ATTCCTCGATTTTAGGATTTGACTTCTCAACGTTATCAGTAGTGGATACTGTTGCTGTGGTCTTAGGTTTTTTAGTGTCCTTTTCGAGGCTTGTTGTAACAGCCCTTCCAATCGGCACCTTCCCAATTTTGAATATGACAGATTTAGAGGCGAAGTAAACCCTACCTTTATTCTTGGCAAGACTAGCCATGGATTTCTGGTCGATACCTATTACAAATAAAGTTCCCTCAGGTTCTTCTTTCCTGTAAAAGACATCCCATTTTTCCACGGCCAGCTCAGCATTTTGACCTCCAAGAATTTCCATTATACGTTCATTAGCCAGTTTACTGCCCCATCCTTTTATGTAGACAGTGGACTTTAGGAGCACCGGAAGCTCGCTCTTCTTTGCCAGTCCCAGCCTAGCGCCGTCCCAGGGAGGAGGGATACTTTCCACCAAGTTCTTTAGGGTGCTAACACATTGGTGAGATGCCAACCTCATCAACATCACGCCCATGCTGAACTCACAGCTCTCGCTCTCGTTTGCCCTTTGAAGCGATTGCATGGTCCACTATCTTATTGTTGACCAGGTCTTCTATTTTACTCTGTTGGTCTATTGGAATTTTGCCTGTCGGATTACCGGCATCGTAAACTGCATAGCAGAGATCGTCCCGGTGCCTACTTCTGGCAACTTTGGCGTAAGATGGCGGCTTTTTTCCTTTTCCTCCGTCTAGCTTCTCCTTCCTCGTTTTTCGGGGCTTCTTTTGAGATTCCCTTACCTTCGAGGTTGATTTCGCCGACGTGTTCGTCTTCGGAATATCTGGCTTGGCGTTGTCACCCTTACTCGCAGGATTCTCAATTGAGATTCCTTTGAGTGAAGTACGGCTTGGCTTCGACTGTGTATTAGAAGACGGGGAGCTCTTTTTCTTCTTAGGTTTATTCTCAGTTGTCAACTCCTCGGGAGACCTGATCCTTTTTGCCTCAGATCTTGTGAGAGAGTCCGATTTTTCCTTTGGAGTGTCGTGGGATTGACTAACTATGATTTCCTGAAGCATCTTTTTCAACTTCCTCCTCTGTGCTCCAGAAAGTCTTTTCTTAGTAATAGGTAGTTTAGCTATGCTATCACTCACCTCTTTCACCATTTACTCTACTTCATCCTTTTTGGGATTTGCTATAATGGTATTATTATTATTATCATCTGAGGATTCAGAGTCGGAACCCTCACCTATATTTAAAGGCTGAGGTAGCTTAGAGCTCTCTCCGAGTACATCCTTCTCTTTCACCCCTATATTTTTGCCAGCGGCATGCTGTACACTTGACGCATTGTCCGCCACGGAGGCCAAGGTACCCACCTCCGTAGTAGTATTCTGCTCACGATTGCAGGATGACGACGACACGTGACTCGCGAGTAGATCAACACTTGCCGCCGGTACTGGGTTATTTAGGCCCTGCACCGTAACTTTTATCTTTTTATTTTTATTTTCCATATTTGTTTTTTCCAGTTTTTTGGTCCGCGGGGAATATAATATTCCCAGGTGGTGGACAATCTGCCCTCCCTCAGCTTAAGTGAAATTAAAGCTGGGAGAGGACAGATGGTCCATCACCACCCCCTATCCGCCACCCGGGGACGCGCTCGGTAGGAAAAATCTGGAAAACTCCCCCGAGAACATAGAACATAAAACAATTATCTTTAAAGCTTAATTACAATTGGAACCACAACCGCTGTCGACAAAAAGTTTTCATACATTTTGTATGGAGAGCAAAATATCGTCTTGTGGTTGGCGATATTGTGGTTAAGATAGATTCTATTTTATTTTTTTTTTTTGGCTCTCTTGCGATCCTCTAATTTTTCTCTTATTTTCATGTTGTAGCGCTGCCATATGTTCATAATATTTTGCTAAAAATCTTGCAAAAACAGGGTTGCCATAATGTACATTTTTCTCCATGTGTTATTATTAACAGAAGATATTAAATGAAAATAATAATAAAAAAATGTGGGCGACAGACCACATTTTGTAGCGAAAAATGCGCCTGATTTTTAGCAAAAGATTATGAACATATGCCAACGCTATAACATAAGAGAAAAATTAGAGGATCGCCAGAGAGCGCAATAAAAATAACACAGAATCTATCTCAACCACAATACGATATTTTGCTCTCCATACAAAATGTATGAAAACTCATTGTCGACAGCGGTTGCTCATTTTCAATAGACTTCGTCTCCCGTACCATAGAAATAAATTTCCCTTTTTCCACCAATGGACCCGCACCTGGTATAGGACCAATATTATTGTGCGTTACAAACATCAGCTCAAACCCAATATAACTGGGTAACTGGATCAACTACATGCTAAGGAACAGATGGATAAGCTGCGAGATGTACGATATAAATATCAGGAAAAAGGTATTTCGCGGTGGCATTTTGTCTCCTTTACTCTGGGTTACCACGATTAATAGCCTTCTAAGGACCCTAACCGAGAAAGGAGTTAGACCTGTCTGCTATGCAGATGACGTCGTAATACTTTTAAAGGGAAATGATCCAAATTACTTGTGTAGAAGAGCTGAGGAGGCTCTGAATACGGCCTTGAGCTGTGCAGAACCAAGAGGCCTCAATGTTAATACGGCGAAGACAAAAAACTGCCTTTTCACAAGAAAGCCAAAAAATGTCTACATATACTGGGTCTTAGTCCTACTATGAAAAATTGGCTTTATAAAAGTGTAATTATACCAATTCTAGCTTATGATAATGGTGGACTGCTTTGGACAGAGAGTGTAATATCAAACTACTACAGGGAGTTCAGCGTACATGCTGCTTGGGTATGTGTACTACTTCAAGCAAGGCTCTGGAATCGTTGCTATAACATATTTAAGATATGAGGCTGCGCTTACAGCCGAACGGATCTTTACTTTAGGCGAACTGGCCAAAAGAGGTTATAGGACACGTCATCAATGTTTACTGTACACATTGGAAGATTATATACAATCATCGGACATGCCTGATTGCATACCAGACACAAAATATGTCGGAAACTTTGAAACGCTAATCCCAGAATGGTCATGGTCATGGTCAAGCGGTCTTGGTCAAGCGGAATATTAGAGCAAATACCATAGGAATATGTTCTTACACGGATGGCTCTAAATTGGAGGACAAAGTGGGCCTGCGGTTCCATATTGAAGACCCAGAAACAAAAATATACCACCGTTTACCTAATCATAACACAAGCATCCAGGCAGAAGTCCGAGCCCACAGCGCTTAATATATTTACCGACAGCCAGAAGGCAATTAGGACGATATCAGGCGATAGAACTAAATCTAAGACCGTTTTGGATTGTAAGAAAGCATTAACTAAATACTGTTCCAGTGGTAAGGTTCACATCATGTGGGTACCAGCCCACTCGGGAGTAGTCGGTAACGAAAGGGCGAATGTAATAGCTTTAAAGGGAAGGGAGCTCGAGGCAGTTAACCTGACAAACGCGAAACCATTCGACGCAACAAAAGCTGAACTAAAAATATGGGTGAGAGAATCCCGTAAGGCCTCTTGGAATAATGAAATGGTGGGTAGAACCACAAAAATCCTATGGGGTGACCCTGATGAGAACAAGACGAGAAATCTTCTCAAAATGAGCAAGTCTGAGGATAGTATGATGGTACGTATTCTGAGAGGTCACAGAAGGATTACGAGCACATTTATGCAGAGTTGGACGTGCGGATTCAGACGAATGTAGAGCATCTGGAGAGGACAGTGAAACTCTGGAGCACTGTCAGGCATTCGTGGTTGGATCCAAGTATCATGGAAGTTATGTTATTCGGAAATAACATAACTAACACTGATTGGAAGATTCTTAGGAACTACGTCCGGGAAACTGAGTTTCTAAACATTGAAAAATAATACAATCAGTGAAATTTTTTTTTTTTCGTGAAAAGGAGCGCACAACAGACCCGATAGTGGCCTAGGTGTATTTTTTCGGATTTGACATACTATACATCCTCCTATTAACCTAACATAAATATGGTCCGTGTAAATTTCGGTAGAGCGATTTTGGTAGGAATTTCTGAAAAAAATCTCCGGGCGTTACTGTAAATGAGCAATATGAAGTAACTCGGTATGCCACAAAATGAAAATATTGAGAAAAACGATTTTAAAGTTTTGAAAAAAAAAAAAACGATTTTAAAATTATATGAAATTTTTAGAAATGACACTTATATTTATTTATGAAAATATTTTTGGTGGGTGTAGCCAATATTTTAATGGTATTGGAAAATAAAATCAGCTTTGGATATCGAGTGGCTTATCATGTTACAGGAGAAAGCCGTGGATGGTTTTTGCACCAAAATAACCTGACCTGATTGGCTCTTATTTTGGTTATAACCCGAATGCACATATTAAATATTAAACGTATTTAGTCTTAAGCCTAGTTCAAAGTTGCGAAAAAATTATGGTTTTTTCATGCGAAAACAAACAAATGTAGTCTATTTCGCGATTTTGGAAAGTTTGTCGCTTTTATTGGTTATTGGTTATATGCATCATTGCTTTAAATACGTAAAGAAAATCCATATGTTTTTTGAATGCTAAAAATAAAGTAAATCTTAATAATACAAACTATTTAGTGTTTTTTATTTAAAATTAATGAAAGTATATTATTGACCGCTTGTGAGGTAAATTTATTGTTTTGCTTTTATTTTTATTTTGATGGTTTTGTAATTTTTCCATTTTTTCGGCTCGATAAATAAATTTTTGGAAAACTAATAAAATGTGATCAGCTGTTTGTTTTAATTTCGTGCGTAAGAAGTGCTGCTTTTGTTATTTCGTAAGTTGGAAAAAAAATTTTGCCAGATAAATTTCACAATGTTTTTCACAATAAGAACAGAGTATGTACTGCTTTTGCGAATTTATTTTGCAAATATTTCATTCATTTCTCACGAAATTTTGAACAGAGTATCTAGCTTTATGCATAACTAATGTTAAAATTATTGAAGAGTTTAAAAAATTCTTTGCTGGAAATCAATATATTCAAATATTTACCATTAAATAATAATTTAAATAAACCTTCGGCTCCTCTTTCCTTTTCTCTGATATTTTTCCAAGCATATATTGACACAACCATTTTTCGTCATTGGCGTCAGAATTATCTTCACTATTACCAGATGTTGTTGAACTTTGCAGTGAATTTGCAAATGAAAAACAGTTGTAAGCAATTGTCAGCATCTTATTTTTCCTTTCATTTATAATAGAATACCTAAAAAAATTAAAAATAATCAAATAATTAGAATTCTTAATTAAAATGGTTTAATGGTATGTATTTAATACTGTC